AAAAAAAAAAAAAAAAAAAAAAAAAAATCTGTATGTAATTGCCACAAGAACAGCACAGTCTTGGCAGCTTTAGCATCAAGAGCGGATACTTCATGCAGTCCAACTTCTGGATTTGCACTGACACTATATCATAATTCAAAGCCAGGTCATCTGTTTTCAGAAATGATTAGGCCCCTCGACAAGCTTTTGATATGCTATGAACGTTTACACATGATTTAATTAAAAAATGACCTTTTTTTTTCCAATAATAGCTTGCAATTTTAGTCAAAGCATCTGAAAACAGAGTAGAAAAGCCTTGTGAATACAATGTTGGAACAAGCGATGGCACATTTCCCACATTTCTCATGCAAGAGATTGCTTTAAGACACCTTAAGAAATATCAGTACAGCTTGGGTTTTAAAACTTCTGTCATGCCTAAACTATTGATTCAGAGTCATCCCTGAAGTATCAAATTATACACAGATGTATTTTTTAATAATCTTACATTAAAACATGAGAGCTCCTCCTGCAGTCACTGTAGGCGGGGTAAAAGCTCTGTCCCACAGATGAGCCAAGTCGAGCAAAACCTAAAATTTTTCCGTTAGCTCTTAAGGACTTGCCAACAAGAAATCCTCCCAAACACAGATGTTTTAGGGAGTAATGTGGGCCTGACAGAGCTGAGATCTGGTGACTGTGCTGGCAGCTGCACTTGCCACTTCCGTCTTAATTTGGGCAGATCTTGATGAATCATGTTTGTAACATGTGATTTGAGATCACTTTTAATGCATTAGTGTGTCTAAAATATAACCACACAGACTGATTTTAAACGAGGAACTTTAGGTCCGCTGGCTACTCTGTGGCTGAAAAGTAGCATTTGGAGAAGTTCTATTAATAAAAGACTTGCCCTCACTGAGCCTTGGGGGTTGTGCCAAAGAAGCATTAAAAGATTTAAATCTATTAATGCTAGATGTCCCATTTACATGCCATGAAATAACAAGTGAGGATGACTCGCTGCAGCTCGGTAATCCCCCAAGGTTTTACACATCATGAGAGAGCGAGGTAGAGAAGTGATTCTTACCAAGAATATTAATTCGTTTTTAGTGTAACAATCTGGAAAATTTTATGGTAAAGTTAAAAAAAAGTAAAGTTAATTGCTGGGCTTTATTTGGGAAATTTAGATTGGATATTAATACCTATAAGAAGAATCATTATAATATTCACTTTTTATACCACAGTACTGCGGAATTACCTTTGAGAAGGTTTTCAGATTACAGAGACTTGGTTTGACAGATTCAGTGTTGCACTAAATATCCCCAAACCCAGATGGTAACTATTTTATACCTCATAAACTCAGGCATATTACTCGGGCTTGAGCCTGTTTTTGGTAAGAAAAAAAGATGACGTTCTCAATCGCATTACCTAATCTTGAATTTAATATAACCAAAATAATCTCTTGCTGCTTATTTAGAGGGCTGTATTTTAGGCGTGCGAGTTTATATAAAAAGCATATTCTAAGTGTTCTCTGTGCCACATGCTGAAGGGTTGTCAGCAGAGTTCACACATTGGCTTCAGAGCGTTATGCAGAAATGTCAGAACCAGATGTGTGTCATTTCCTTCTTCCTCCAAGTTCTGAACACGCTGGCTGCAGCCTGGCCTTTATCTCATCTCCCACCTCTCCCCACCAAGCCACTCCACCATTTCAGTGTCTCCGCCCAAGCCGTCATACTTTGTTTTCAGGAAATGTCAGTAAATTGACCTTTATAACATAATAGCTGTAGTTATTTCCTGGGTTTTACTTTCAGATATAGTTCAATGAATATTCAGTTCATTGAGGGCTAGGAAAGCTATCATTAATTATCCCAGCAACAACTAAATGCAACATTAAGTGTCTTAAATGTAAACGTATTCTAGAAAATTACCCCGTGCTTGATTCGCCTACTCCTCCTCTCACCACCCCCAGGCATGAATCAGGAGGAACTCAACTGAAATCCCCGGGGACATGCAGATGTATGATAATATTGAGCTTTGTTTTGCTCTCACTTAGAAAAATGAGAACTATTATAATAATTGAAGTATTTTCTTTGGAAACGTGATGCCTTAATGAAGTACTTTAACAAATTAGTGAGAAAATAAAAACTTATGTCTGGAAATATCTTCATCGCCTTACAAATAATTTGCAGGACACCCAATCCAATGGGAGTGAGTTCACTCCATGGTGTTCTCCAGCCACACCAAGGGCGTCGGGGCGCGGATCAGTCTCCCGGTATGACCCTGCTGGCCTCTCCCGTGCCCTGTCCTCGCCCAGTTGCTGTGCTTCGCGCCCCTCAGCGTGGCTCTCCGCGCCGGGACACATGGCCCGGCCTGGGA